CCTAACAAAGGGAAGCATCGCAATCGACATGGTCCCCTATGGGTAAAGCGGCACCCTGGCAGAGCTGCTGCCTCCGTCTGCATCCTGCCACAAGTTTCCATACATCTATGAGATTGTTTTGTGCTAACAGCCCTGCTAGAGTATGAATGCATAACTGTTCGTAATCCAGTAAGCCCTCTGTGTCCTCTGCATTACTCTCTGGCTTGTAAGGTAACCTTTAAAGCTTTAAGTTCCCGTTTTACAGAAGTATTATTATATGATATTTTATATATCTTTGAATCAATAATAATAATAATACATTCACGATTTTGTAGCATACCTGTTTAAATTTGTATGTTTTTATTTTGCGGAGACCAACTTACTTTGTCCAATTTGTAATAATTTGCCATTTTTGCACAGTGCATGCAAATAAGAAAACTGTAATATAATTTATTTACTCTATTATGTCCTCATTTATTTTGGACTTTCATAATAAAATTTGAAATTTGTGAGAGCAGAATAGGATGTTTATCGTCGAGAGCTGGTGCTAGTCATCGTGTTACCGTATATATATATATATATATGTATATATTTATATATATATATATTTATATATATATTTATTTCTCAGTCTAATTTCTAAGCTGCTTGTTCAGTGAAGGGTTGCTGTGGGTGTGAAGCCTAACCCAAGAGGCAGGGGGCAGGAAACAGCAGGTCCATCCCGGATGACATGCCAGCCCATCACAGGGCACACCCACCCTCACACACTGTCACAGACTATGGGCAACTTAAAGGAACCAACTCATCGCACTGCATGTGTGTGGACCGCTGGAGAAATGCAGACTTCCTGAAAGAATCCCACAAACACCCAGGAACAACATGCCAACTGTAGGCATATAGGGTCTGAGACAGGAATCCAGCCTGCAATATACTTGTTAATACAGAGTTCTTCACTGAGCTGACAGATTCTTCTTCAGAAATAGCATTCAAACCTCACCTTGCAACACAGCTTCTTTTCCCTGCATATGTTACACAATACATGCCACACATACATCAGCATAGATACTGCTGACATTTTGTTCTTAATATGTATTCTTATACATATTAGTGGATTATTACCTCCAGTGTTTAGATAATGACTAATATTGCTTAATAAAGGTTAAGGATAAATGTCATTTTCTACGTCATTTTATCACCAATGATTTTCATTTCATGCAAAATTGTAATATTCTAGATCTACACCTTCACTAGAATTTACAGTTAGTTTAAAGGAAGGTTTTCTAAAATAAATGTAAACCATACATTAAAGTAACACCATGAATAGTATGATCTATCAGTCATTATCAGTTGCAGCACAGAGGTGAGGCTGGCTCTCTGGTACTTATCTGTTACAGGATACGTGTAACATATGTGTAAAGGCCATCTAAGTGCTGTGTAATGGGAACATTAAAGAAAATATGAAACTTTATAAAGCTTTATAGAGTGTCAACGGCCAAATTTCTTGATAAGACAGATAAATATCTGCTATGAGAGCAGATAAATAAAATTAATGAATTACATTTTGATTGATCGATGTAATTACGGCCATAATTATAATTCTAGCTGTCTACTGACGCCTGCATACTAATGTTTCACTGGCAGGAAGCCATCTTATGAAGAGTGTTATCAGCTAAGCAGTTCCTTAAAAGCAGCATTTAGGAGACAGGTTTTCTATAAACAGGAATGAACTGTCACTTGAGCCGCTGAGTCTGCTGGGTGATCTCTTTGTCAGCTGCCCTTCAGCCCCCCTTTCTGGCCTCTTTAGTCCCACAAGTCTCCTGATTACGGTCTCCATAGTAACTCTCTGTCTCTTCATGCGGCCACTTCTTCACTGGTCCCCTGTGCTCCGTCCTTTTATTGCCTGAACTCCCAGTTAGGGAGGATAGTTTGTATATGGAAGTCGCAACTTGGAGATCAGGTTAATCATAGACAAAAAACAAAGAGCATTACAAATGCAACGTTGACATAAAAACGTCTTTTCAGTATGAATCTAAATTTGAAGCATTTGAAATAATTTATCCATCAGTTTGAAATGAATCTATTTATCAGGAAAATATTTGTTTATAGTTATGACAAATAGTTTGTGAATCCCTTGGAAAAATCACTATTTTTTCATGAATGGGTCCTAAAATGTGATCTAATCATAATCAAAGCCATAGTAATAAACAAAGACACTTTTTAATTAATAAACAACAGCATTTTGTATTGCTTGCATAATGTGTATTTACTGCATAAATAGTTTAAATAATGATGGAAAAAATGTTAAGAACCTATACATTTAGTAACTAGTGGAAGCTCCTTTACTGTGAATAAGCTCAGACAAACCAAACGCTTCCTTTAGCTTCGGCACAGTGGTTAGGAAGTGTTTTGGTGCCATACTCTATACAAACCTGTTTCTGTCCATGTTCAGGCCACGTTCAAATCATGCAGACAGAACACTGTGTACATGTACCAATAACTGCTTTTGTCTCATCTGTTTATTGAGCATTGTAGCAAACTTGGCGGCCAACAATGTTTTTTGAGATCAGTGGTCTCCTATGCGGTATCGTCCCATGAATCCTTTTCTACTGTTTTTCTTAATGTAGACTCATGATCACAGACATTAACTGCAGATATTTAGCTATAACCCAGTCTGTCTGACTGTGTACTTATGGAGGCCCAAGCCTGTAGAAATCTTTTTGTGACACGTTCCAGTCTCACAAATATCAACTCTTCTTCTGATGTCCTTTGAACCTCTTCTGATTCGACCACAATACACTTGAAAGAATTCTGTTGTGAAGAGCAGGTAACTAACATTGTGCAGTTTTTTTATAGGTCAAACCTACACCTGAATTGATTAGGACTTCAATTGCCCTTGCTTCAATGGGTCATTATCCTAGAGGTTCACACATAGTTTTTCCGTCAATGACCTTGATTGATTAAAGCATTTGTTCAATAAAGATAAGGCAATGTAAAATGCTGTGTGTAATGTTTGTTAAATAGGACTGTCTTTATTTAATATCATAACCTAGATGAAGATCAGATCTCTAAATTAACAAAAAGACTAACTAAACTACATCATACTATAACAATAAAGTATACTTTACAATATGTATCCATAATCCAACCAACTGTCATGGTCAGGGGAACATCCAACAGAACCCCAACCATGAAAGTAAAGGGCAACAAATACATGCATAACCATTTGCACATTAAATTGAAGGATATCAATGCAAAAATCTGTTAAATTTATAATTTGTTTATATACTGACAAATCGTAAAGTCATTTGTTTGTTTTTCTACATGTACGACAAGGGATTCCTGACCTATCAGGTTTCAAGCTTTGGTGTCCAGTAAAATATCCATCCATCTTCTACACCCACTTGTCCTCTTCAAGGTAGTGGGGGTCAGGAGTTTATCCTGGAGGCTACAGGTGCAATTCAGGGAGATCCCAGGACAGGGTGTCAACCCATCGCACTGCACTCTCACATTCACACCGACGGATAATCTGATAACTACAAATCACCATAGCATGTTTAGACTGAGGAGGGTGGGGAGTACCCGGAGGAAACGCCGCGATAACACGGGGAGAACATGCAAACTCCACATACATGTAGTCAGGGCGGAAACTCGAATGGTCCCAGAGTTGTGAGACAACAGTGTTAATCACTGCACCACGGTGCCGCCCCCAGCAAAATATTAATTTAAATTAATTCCGAAATAGATAGGCAGAAAAAAGTGTTGTAGTTTCCTCAATATAATTACCTATTGGTACTACTGGAACTGAAAAGATAAAATAAGAAAATGATAACCATTTCTGACGATTCCCCATAGCCTTACAGACCGACGTGCACCTCTCCGTGTACCGCTACTGCATCACATTCATTACGTACCGGTTTAATCTGTCAAGGTTACACAAGCACGTAGGGTTCAGCTGCATGGAAGGATGATTTTACAAGCATGACGCATTATCATTTACCAAACAATCAGAGAGTCATCCCTGTAGCTTTGTTGAAAGAGGAAAAAAAATCTATTTCTTATTAAAAAATACCCCCTCGTGGTCCCATCCATCTGCTTGTGACTCACAAAAATTATATCCAAAAATTTTGCAAGAGAATGCAAAAATGCTGCCTCAATGTACAACGGGTCTTGTAACTATCCATTCCATCCAGCTAATTAGGTGCCACACTAATAGTGGCAAAGTAATTAGTCTGGGCATGATTGTGCCTGATGACACACATTCAGATTGTCCGGGAATTCATAGACGGTAATCAATTTGTGGATATTAATACTTTTCTGTTGTTAAAAAGCTTAATGAAGCAGCACTCGCTTCTGTCTGGAACAATCATTAGATTTCGCGGGCTGAGACGCTTTTCGACCGAAGGTAAGAAGACAAATACATTACATACAACACAAGTATTTAGAATATGCATGGATTTTCACCTATATAAATAACACAATGACAACTATAATATGATAAAACTAATCAACTATAGGCCTAATCAAATTCTTTAATTAAAACTGGAATTTCTAAGGTTTTAGTCATGACATCTTGAGCAGCGACATTTGGTATTTATATTTGCAAATACACTGCAAAAATAAGTAGGCCTATTTATCCATTCTTCCAATTTAACTAGCTAAAATAGTATTCTATAAAGTATATGTCGCATTTTGACAAACCTTTGGAATCTGCTGGGCTAAACTTATATATATAACTTTAGTGTGTCTTCATTTCTTTAAAGTTTATTTGTTATAGCAGAGTTGAATATCTCGTTTTTTTTTGTAGCTATGCGCAAAATAAATGAATCACAAAATGAAAACAATATGTAATTAGAATTGTCATTTAAAAAAAAAATACCGAAATATTTTGCATATGTAGAATCGGTGGGAGGATACTGGTATAATTAAGTGACACAATTATTGTTGTAGTGTACCAGCCTGGAGGTCAGAGGCACGCGAACGCACGAACCCCTCCCTCTGTCATTCACGTCGCGTTACCGCAGCAACGCGCAGGCAGCGTCGCGTGCTGCCGTTTGTTGCGGGAGGGCGAAGGAAGATGGAGGATACCATCAGAGACCCCGAAACCGGTGTGTAAACATTAGCAGATGTTACCTTTACGCCCCATTATGGGGCCACTCTGGAAAGTACATACGCATATAGACGACCGATTTGTTATTATCCGGCCCCGTTGTACCTGCCTTGCGTGCAATAGGGATCTCCGCAGACCGGCTAAGTGTTAGCTAGCAATTCCCCGACACTGTCATGATTTGTGTTATGTGCTGCTAGCTGGCTAGCTAGCTGAATACTTTTCCGTCAAAATAACATAAACTGCCTGTTATTTTTTAATGCAGGTAAATAAATATATGTAGGCGAGGTCGCTAGTAAAGCATTTAAGCGTAATAACAGGCTTGCTTTTGTTATTGCTATTCTGTTTGGTTTTTGCTAACCTGCTGGTGACTGAGAAGTCACCTGCTGTAGCAGCTGAAATGAAGCATCTCCTCTCAACTTACTGTGCTCGTCGCATTTTTATGGTGTACTTCTGCATAGATCTGCCCCCCTCACGCAAATAGTCTTTTTATTTTTTGAAGCAGTGAATATCTGATTTTCAGCTTTAAATATTGGTTAAAAAAATCGTCTTTTTATTTATTTGTTTATTCATGAGATTTAAATAATCGAATTAAATATTCCACTCTTCAATTGAAGTAAATGCCCTTCACTTTTAAGAGTGTCCTTTTTTCTCCCAGGAACGGTGACCCTAAATGAACCTTGTTGCTTTAAAAAGTTCCTTCCGGTTTTGACTTCATTGAAAGTGTCTGGGCAGTGAATTGACCTGGAATATCAGAAACTGCTTTTTTGTTTGCCTTGGCTCAGGTTGGATTACAGAGTGCTGCTCTCCCCTTCCATTTCATATGATGAATTTCATTTTCTAATATTTTATTCTTTCTAATATTAATTTATTTCAGTCTTTTTAAGTGGATGGGAAAGTGATTTCTTCTCTGGCGTGCAGCATAAAGAACAGAGAGGGAACATGTTTAGTGTGGCCAACTTGTTGTGACTGTGGGACCCTCTATCTGTGGCAAGTGGAAGATGTACTGATATTTCCTGACAACACCCACCCGCGAACTGTGCTGGAATCTTCCATTGTGTTTACTATTTTGCAGCGAGGGGTGTTGCCTGTGCACTGGTGTCCCTACAGTATGGCTCTGGTTAACTTATCAAAACAGAGGATGCAGTTAACAGGCAGAAATGATAACTGATCACACAGCATCTTCTTGCAGCTTCTCACACTTCCTTAACTTGAGTATATTTGTCATTATCATGAGAGATATGTCATTTTAAAATTACTTCTTTTATGTGTTCTATTTGAATTTATTAAATTATTGTCATTTCAGATTAACAATGCAACATAGAATTTACAACGTGTGTCCAATATAGCTGTCTACATCAAACACAAAACATTAATTGTGAAATTATGCTGCAGGTTAAAAAAGTATAACTCTGGAAACTTGAGTATAATTCGTAATTCCATTATGCATTCCACATTTTCTGTTAAGGTTAAAAGGTTATAAATAACTAATATGCGGAGTCTGACATGGCCTAATAAATGTTTTTACTATTTCAAATCCTTGACCCACCATTGACCATTAGCTGTTAGTAAAATGAGGGAAATTACCTACTATTCAAAAAGCCAGCATTCAAGAGAAGGGGTGTATACTGTATCTCTTCCTCTGTCAAAATGATTAGCATCTAGATACATGCTCTGCCATATGATACAAAGAATACATTTAAAAGTGTAATGATACTTTACAATTCAATTCAGCAATAATTCTATATTATTCAAGTAAAATACGATACAGTTTGATTCAGTTGTGACTGGATGCAATTTTGATCAATTTAACATGTATTGATGTGTCCTACTTTTGAAGTTAAAACATTTAAAAAAATAAAATATCACTTTATTCTGTGCAGCAAAAAACTACTGAAGTTAATCATAAGGTCTTAATATTAAAAAATTGAGTAATATACTGTAATTTTGACATGATGTGTGTATAGGTTTGTGATGGCTTTATTGGTTTTTAGATGATTTCTGTTTAAATTTGAGTTGGTTTTGGGGTTTTGAATCGATCCAGCAACATCTTCGGCCAGATTTCCGGATTGTTTTTTTGTTACATTCTGTTTAAGAGTCATGCAAACTGACATATTATTGAACTTCGGGTATTCAGATAAATACAGTGTGTTTGGATCTTAGATAAAGCAATGCGATCTAATGCTGACTCCTTGCCTGTGATGCATGAGGATGCACATGTGAAAAAATTATGAAATACTGATGTATAGTAAACTGCTTGACAGAGTAGAGTTGGGTCTCTTTCAGGTGGTGAAGCAGGAGGAGAAGATGCTTTAGTGGGCAATGTTAACAAGCTGCTGGTGGTCCCTCAAGGTTACATGGGGGCGAAACGGAAGGGGCACCTCATCTTTGACGCCTGCTTTGAGAGCGGTGAGTTAAACATGTCATAAGAAACAAGGCATAATAAAATGAACACACAAATAGAACATACATCTAAAATTCATCTAAAATAAATGAAAGATAAACTGCCTAGGGGCCACTTTAAATATCTGTTATTTCCATCTGTTATTGGCATGGTTCAAAAGTAAGAAGGCGGGGTTTTGGGGCTAAGCAAGCAAAATAAGTTTTTCAACCATGTTGTATTTTGCTGTTATTTGCTGAATATTTTTGTTGACAAGTTAACAATAAGCCATTCATCTTTGAAATTTTATTATACCAATGATCCTGAGTTAAGTTAGGAGCCTAACTTCTCAAGTTTTGCTAAGTTGGCTCTACAAACTTCAACTTAGATTGACCTGTAACAGTTCTACTTGGTGTAGTTTAAAAATTATATGGTAAATATTTGCTTACTTTTTCTGCATATAAAGAAATATTGTGTATCACCTTAAAATAGGGTGAACTTGACTCAGATTTTTTACATTTTTCATGGCTTATCAAACATGTAATTTGTCACAAAACCTGTTATTTCAAAAAGCTAATGGTTGTTCCTCCCAGGTCAGTCCAGCATTTGGAATCGAATTCATAATGTACGTAAGCCTGTACTGCCAAATGCACTTCGCTATTATAAGTGACTGTGAAGTATGGCACATCTCTACTAATATTTTTTAAATACTTATAAAAAATAAGGTGCTTCAGATCAGCTGGTACCTCTTCCTGCTATACAGTATTGAACCAGATAAAAGTTTCACAGAAAATGTCTGGCTTATCTTATTTGTTCATACTGGTTACCTACCATATTTCACTCCACAGTATCTGATATTCATAAGTGAGAATGATAATGTTTCTGTCTGTATGAGGATTGATACATACATACCTGAGGCAGCTGCTGTCTTACATTACAGGAATGGCTTCTGTGGCCAGTCATTTCAATGGCAGTTTGTTTAGACCAGCGGTAATACCACAAACAGGGATGTTGGGGATTTTTAGTTAAAGATTAGCTGCCAGCTGTGAGAGACGCGCCTTTGAAAGTCAAATGTCAAACGGATTTCTTTAGGAATGATGCTACCAAGACTATGTGTAGTTATGTTATTTGTGAATGCTTGGTGTCTCACCTCTGATTGGCTAACTATGTCTTAACCCACGTTACGGTTGGCCTATTGGAATGAGAGCTGATCTACATGTCAGTGGGTCATTCTGGTAAAATAATTAATTCAGTCTCATTGTCGTCTGTTGCTCCAATGAGTAACAAATGCCTTAGAATCCATCTTCAAAGCCTTAGACAACTATTTTGTAATTTGTATTAAATCTTAATTATTAAATATGTGTCAATTAAATGTAAGTGTTATTAAATATAACAGTGAAAGTTGGTGTGATTAAATCTGTATGTTTGGTAAAATGAAGTTTAAGTATAAGTGGAAGGCTCTGTCTTTAATAAACAGAAATGATGGGTGACGTACTAGACGAGTCACCAGTCGTAAAACTTCTGCGTTCATCTGTTGTCGACCTCAGCATATTCTGCTAAATGTGNTGTACTGAAATGATGGGTGACGTACTAGACGAGTCACCAGTCGTAAAACTTCTGCGTTCATCTGTTGTCGACCTCAGCATATTCTGCTAAATGTGGATCTGCAGAGACGATCCAGACATCTTGTTATAGTAATAACAAATTGTTTTTCAGTTTTGGAAATGGTTGTTGTGCAAGTCATTTTTTTGGTTTAAGCGGCATTTAAATTTAAGTGCAAAGAGTAAATATGTTCATGCAATTACATGTTTTTCTGGTAGTACACATTGACACACTACTTTAGCATTTAAGATATGTTTTTTTCACATGTGAATGTGGTCATAGGGCACTGTTTTGTTTTAATAGTAAGAAAAGCTCAGACTCCATATGTACTTTTTATGGGCGAAACCCAAATTGGAGTATTGTGACCATGACTGTGCCCATTAATGGCAATAATTAAAAACTGTGATGCATTATCTAAGTGGCTGCTCTGTTACTTTGTCAATCTCCCTGCTGAAAACTGTAATTAAACAGAGTTAATATTTGACAAATGCTTTGCAAATGTTGTTTGATTAGCACTTTAAAACAGACTGAAATGTAGAGGTAATGAAAGTAAGCCCCCCTTCCACCAACCTCCCCCCCCCCACCAAGAAGGTCAAGTGTTTAGTGGAGAGGGTTTTAGAGCTGGAGTGATAGTGAATCACTGCGGCTCTGAAATGTTCACAATATCATTGCCTGTTCAAGAGACAACCGGGTAGCTTTCATATTCCTGACTGGCAACTGGTTCAGTGTGCAGCAGTAATGAAGCTCACCTTCAGCAACCTAAAGACTGCTGTCATAACACCAAAAGCTTTTGAGCAAAACTCACGTGTTTTGTATGTAACGTACGTTTACGGGGAGAATGTTTCCTTTGTTAGCACAGACACAATTGCTGTAGGTGGGGGGTGGGGGAGGTCCTTGAATCGGTTCTATAAACTGCACAGTATAAGTTTGTTATGATGCTCTTATTTGAATTGCTAACATTTGTTTTGCTTTATGCAAGCTGTATTACCTTTTTGAATCTTTTTTTTGTCTACATATATGATTATATAAAAATACAACAATTAACCTATTACAGATGACAGTCACAAATGTCAGTACACTGTTTTTGTGTCAGTTGCTACAAGTTAATCCAAAATAGTTAGACAATAATTGTATATCCGTGTCTTAAACATATTAATTGCTAAGGATAATAGTAATAGTATTGTAACTAAATGATTTACTAAATCAGAGCTATAAATTAGACTACATAATTTTCGATTTATTGTTTTTAACAATACACTGCAGTGACATTAAGCAGACCAAAATTAAATATCGCTATACTGCAAATCAGAACCTACAGAATATCCCAATATATTTATTTCCAGAATGGTCTACCTTCTAGCAGTTAATGTTCAGATGGCAGGAATGATTATGTAATATGAGAATTGATTGATGTCACTGATGAGCAATGCGTACATACTTTAGCTGTGTCAGAGAGCCCAACTGGAAGGTTGCAGTGATTTGGAACTTTTGGAGTTAGATAGAGTGTCGATAGCTAATAAGGGCCAATGTTAGAGGTTTGGGAAAAGTGGAGTGATGGTAGAGAAAAACATATGTTTAGAGGGATAATATAAATAAATAATCAGGTGATTTTTATATGATATATTTCTCCCAGTTGACATGCTCTGAGGACCTTAGACATTGATTAATGGGCTTTGGGCTCCCAGACTGAGATCAGTTAACATATATGACATTACCCCGATGTCCCTGGTTCCGGAAATTCTCGTGAATGATTTATGGAATTGATATTAATCTCTTTCCAGTAAATGCATTACTGAAGTTGGAAACGGAGGGGAATTGATGTTACCGCGCTAATGTCAAATTAATGTCCTGTTGCTGTTTCAACGGAGCAGCACTGCAGCTACATTTTTAACCACTTATGAGCTGATGGCTCATGGTGTGAATTGCAAGGGGAATATTTCCTTTTTATCATTCTGGTATGATTTCCTGCCATACTCATGCCCTGCCGATAGTTTTGGGGTTGAAGGCTGTGCCGTAGGGAATCTGCATACCGTAAAGATACATCCGGCTAGCAAATGGGAGCCGAACTGTAGTGACCAACATCATTAGTTGTCTGTTTCTTTGCTCGGCTGTCAGCATATAGTGTAATATGTTCTTCCTTGTCTCTGTCAGTCCATTTGATTAACAGTTATCGCTCATGATTAATTATCGTAAATATCCATGAGATGTACACATCAGTGTGATTGATGTTGCTGCTGACGTTCATCCAGCTAAGCCCAAATCTTTAATCTCCATGAGAAAACGAGTTGCTGACAGTTCATATGACTCCTCCCTGTGTATGAACCACACTTATTTTTCCCCCTTTTTAATTTAATCCCATCGCTCTGCCCTTCTGATGCTGTCATCCTCCAGCTAACCTGTTTAACGACCACTTTGTTTAACGTTCCACTGACAGCATGGCATTCACTTCTGTAGATTCTTAGGAAAAACATTTATCAAAAAGACACAGGTTTATGTTTGTTTTGGTTGTAACAGTCTCTGTGAAGATCCAGTAAAAAGTCCAACAAGGTGATGTCAGAACCCACTGAGGCATGGCAATATCGGGAGCTTCTGAAACAAATGGGATTGAAGGCACAAGTGGAACCACTTGTCATGTCACCACCGTCTTCCTGTTAGCCTTGTCCCTTGACAGTGATGTCTGCTCTTAACATCGGGTAAAATAGCCCAGTGATGTCAGGCCTTTGAAGTGTGCCACTCGCATCATTTCTTGAACACATCCTTATGGTTCGTAATGAAAGAGGAATAAATTATTGTATTTAATTGCATTTTAAATACATTTCAAAGCCATTTGGACTTTTTTAGTGTTGATTGTGGCTAGGGGTTCCTAGCCGTCTGTCTCACTATAGCAAAGATTCCTGTCATTCCAGCTGTGTGATTAATCTTTTAGTCACTGAAGCTATGATATATTTACTATTTTTTTTCACCTACTTTGTTTTATGATGGCCCATTTCTTCACTCTTAAATTCCAGATGAAACTTGATTCATTAAATGATATCCTTGAGAAGATTTTCATATGTAAACAAAAGGGTGCAAATTCTTTAAGGAATTAAAGAACATGCATCTAATGCTGTTAGTATTTGTGAAAAGTGGAAGTGAGGCTGTGAGCAGCCACTCTTTAAGCAGAGTACACACAGATGAGGGTTGAGTTTTCCAGTGTGAGCATTTTCACCATTACAGCACAAGTCACAACTCCATTACAACAGCTCTCCTTTCATACCAGTGTGAGTGTTTTCACCATTACAGTACAAGCCACAGTTCCATTACAACAGCTCTCCTTTCATACCAGTGTGAGCATTTTCACCATTACAGCACAAGCCACAGCTCCATTACAACAGCTCTCCTTTCATACCAGTGCGAGCATTTTCACCATTACAGCACAAGTCACAGC